ACCCAATATTAAAATAATTACATATGTAGATGACATCACAATCTTATCCTCCCACAAAGACTATAATACTGCTGCACTAACCCTTCTACCGTACCTACAAACCATACACACATGGACCACAGAAAACCAACTACAACTCAACGCAACAAAAAGCACTGCCACTCTCTTCACACTTGACCCGGATGAATATAGCACACAACTCGACCTCAATATCAATAATATACTCATTCCAACAGTAAGAAACCCTAAAATACTGGGACTCACCTTTGACCCAAAACTCACCTTCAGCACTCACATCAGTAATACTCACAACAAAGCCAATAATAACATCAAAATAATCAAATCACTTGCAGCCACACAATGGGAAAAACAAAAAGAACTACTAACAACCACATTTCAAACAATTACGCGTCCAATCCTCGAATACGCAAACTCATCCTGGTCACCAAATATATCACCCACGCACATGAACAAACTCTAAACTGTCCAGAACGCAGCACACAGAATAGATGTACCGCAGGCACCAACATCCATCACCTTCACCAAGAAACCAAACTCCTAACCCTAACACAACACCTCAAACTTCACGCCTCACAACTCAGACAGAAAGCACAAAACCCAACCCACTCACTACATACCCTCACCCATCAGCCGCACCCACACCACCTAATGAAACAAACCATTTTCCATAACTCAGGTTTCACCACCAACATAGACACTCCACCCGCACAAGCCACAGACACAATCAAACAAAACCTCAAAAAAATCTACACAACAATCACAGAAAACTATCTTGCCACCCTTCCTCACAATAACATTCTAAACAACCCCGCACCACAGATCCACCCAACCGAAATCAACCTACCTAGACCTACACGCAGGAACCTTTCACAACTTCGCACAAACAAATCACCGCTACTTCTCTCATACCTAAACAAAATAGACCCTGCCACACATCCTTCTCCACTTTGCCCACTCTGTCTGTCCAACATGCACGACACATCTTTTCTCCTGCCCTGACTCTCCTGACTCATCTTTTCTCCTGCCCTGAAATGCCCACATATCTGTCGGTAGGTGTCTAGGCCCCGGCTCGCGTTGTGAAGCGAGGCGGGGAGGGTCAACAACAATAACAACCAAGTAATATGCGCCTAAACTTTATTTATCCACACGTTTTTCATCATAAATAAATCAAATTAAACAGAGTATGTTATTCTGGTCATGTAAGTGGTTTTCAGTGAGGGAATCTCCAAAAAAATATTATTCATGTCTTAAGTCCTAAATAATGCAATTTTCACATGCTTTTCATGTCTGCCTCACACGTTTCAAACTAAATTCACGTAAAAATGATAGCCATCCAGTGAAAATTGGCTTTCTCCTTCCCATAATGAAAAATTTAACTAAAAATCAAAATTCATGCTGAATGTACAATTCAACAAATATCATCAATACAACGCGCAAGTAGTACGGATCTGAACATTACAATATTTATCAATCCTAATAAACACGCATGTGGCTTGAGAATTTGTGAAGGCCAAAACTTGGAACGATTTTGTTAGTCTATAAAACGATTCAATCATTTTCTCCCAACCGAGCTCTTCAGCTTGTCTGTACATTTGCTCACCAGTTTCGCGTAATATCTGAAACTCTTTCCTTGATCTTTCCGATGCAGTCAAGTCTTTAATCCAAAGCGCCAAGCTTTTTTTCAGGTTTTCAACTGTGTTGTTACGCGCTATTTATTTGCTTCTTCAGATGTCTAAGGCTGACCGTTCATGAGCGGCATTTTGCATGCCATGGCCTGCTACTGAGCTTTTTCTAATTTGTTTTCGCACTCGAATAAAACATCGAAAGCACGAAACTTTTCCTTTTCGGCCGCTTCCAGATTTTCTGTCATCTTCAATTTTTCAGATGCATCTTGCGCTTCTGTGTCCTTGCACGAGCCTTCGTGCTCCCAAGCCAGCATTTGCTGCATCGCTTCCAGCACCTTGCGCTCACTCTGCTCAAAATTTTAGACAGCTTTCTGCCTTTCAGCCTCTGCAATTTTCAAATGTATTTGTAATTACTTATTCAACTTCATCTGATGTACTTCAAAACCGGCATTGTCTGGACCGTCTGGTGCGACCATGCCCACAGAGGCAAGGGATCGTTGGTGGACATCAGTTGTTAGCTCCCGTTTAATTTATGTGATCCGTTCCGTCAAAACCCTTGCTTAAAATTTCGCAGTATTTACTTCTTGTTTAAGTAGATTTAGGCTTTCATGGAGACGCGAAGCCTTTATCTTTTATTCGCGTTAATCGTCTTCAGTGCGATCGATCTGCCGTTTTCTTATATTCATTCGAGCTTTCTGCTTTTCTCGTGTCTCCTTAATATATTTGATATGTCGGTGTCCGAATTTTCCAGGTTACTATTAAATTTGCAACGTTTTGTCACCTAAATCATCGACATCGCGATAAAATATCTCCGTGTAAAGGTCATCGCAGATTTTACGAAGTTTTCTGCACTTCTCTAGGAACTGCTGATAACGAGCACGAATAAGATGCGCCTTGTTGTTGATTTAATCCAAGTATTGAATTAATGTACCACGCTGTTGGACCAGTACTTCATATTCTGCCAGTAAGTTTAAGGTTTGTTCCTCCAAAACCAGATCTTCGCAGTTCCCAGGGCTTGAAGTTTCTCTAGACATCTTGGGACGTTTCGAAAAGGCAGCTCGTTGATCACAATATTTCGGAGCAGCGATGAAATTTCAATTCGAAGCGGACTTATATACGCGGTCAAACCTAGAGTATCCTGAATACGGTTGCGTTATATCTTTTACAGCTTATTTTTTCACAGATGAATTTTGTGCATGTCAATGTTAGAATTTGCATAGTTATGTAGTATGAATTCATTATAAAATGATTTATCGTCGCAAAACAAAACCAAAAAGTTTCAAGGAGGTACATACTTTAAATTCCAAGCAGACTCACTAAAATAAATAGTTCAATTATAGAATTTTAAACATATTAGTACTTCTGAATTGATCAGCATAAGTAATCAGTAGCCACGAGTTTCTTTTTCTTTCAGTTCACCACAAAATTGAAGAGAGTGAGCAAGAAGGCGTCATCATTGTGAGCTTCACCATTCCCTTTACATAACGCCATCCTGATCATTCTAAATATAATATCTGTGCTCAAATGACATACATTTCAGTTTACTGGTACAGAAAATTGATAACATAGATTGATTAAAAATAGATCAAAAATAATATCAGTCAGCTATGCGTCGTTACTAATTTATTTCAAAATATTGCTTATCCTTATTTGTCAATTATACATACATTTGAAGTTTAGAACACGTAAAAACGTGCTCTAATTTTTCTTACATGTATACTACCACAAATCAAGTGTATAATGATAATAATAATAATTAAATGTAATTTATTTAATATATTTCATATAATTTAATATAAATAAACAAACTTCATTCTATTATCAATAAAATATCTCCTACCATATTCTATGCAACTTGACATGAAAAATAGGCCCATTACTGAAATTGATAGATTTGAGTAATGGATACAAATACAAATGTGCAAAATATCTATTTTGAATTACGTCACAATCAAATGTGTTTCAGTAATAAGATATCCATAAAACCTCAAAAAACATTTCCAAGGAGTCCAGTCAGTATCAAGTTACTGCTTACTGGTCTCATTCACACTCTCCTTGAAACAAAAAATATAACTCAGTACTCACTGCAGTGAGTGACAGAGAGCGCATTTTCTCGTCGACGAGAACTTGAGGTCACGGACGGACGGACAGACAGACAGACAGACGGACATGGCGAGCACCATAGTGCATTTTTTCCATAAATGAGAAAATGCGCTAAAAATTGGTGGAAATATGTCAGACTCAGAGAAGTGAGGGGACATATTATCTAAAAAGTGATACGCTTTTTTGCGCATTTTCTCATTTATGGGAAAAATGCACTATTGTGCTCGCCATGTCCGACCGTCCGTCCGTCTGTCTGTCTGTCCGTCTGTCCGTGACCTCAAATTTTCGTCGACGAGAAAATGCGCTCTCTGTCACTCACTGCAGTGAGTAATGAGTTATATTTTTTTGGCGTTGCTGGAACAGACAGTTGACGTAGCACTCAGACGCTGCTTCTGCTGATCAAATTGAGTCTGGATGACCAACACCAGAACAAAAAGTACATCGCTTTTTGAACAAAATTTGTCTCGTTTGTCTCGAGAGTATGGATACCTCACTTGCACCTTACATTTATATTTATTCAAATTTGGCTTCAACAAGTAAAATCGAATTCTATTCGTCAGCGTATAAACACTGGCAAACGTTTTGTCTGAGGGATATGGGATCTAATCCCGGCTAGTTAAGCCTTTTTTTCTAGCAACTAATTCTCAATAAAATATGAATCCCCTAGGTTCCCCTGGAAATAACTGTTTGAAATAAGGTTCCCCTTAGAATATTTAAAGCACGAGACAAAATTTAAACGCTTGTGACCTGAGGAATTTTCCGTGCAATCTCGGCCTGGGGTGGTGCACGGCGCTCGGTTGTCGCTGGTTTACGAGTCCCACGCGGTCTAATTTAGAGGCGACGACGGGGGTGTGAATCTTAGCCGCTCGGACACAAGTTCTGCTGACGAGCGAGCTGCTTCTTTAGGTTTTCGTGATGTTTTTGAATAATTGAAGTATATAAAAGGTATTATAGAATATGTGTTTGTTGCAATTAATATACAATGTATGTTTGTTGCATAGAAATCAGTGACAAAGAATCTCCAAAGGCCGAGACCGAGAGTAAGTCACTGACACGGCTTGTAATTGATAATTTGCGACATGCAACTGCTTGTAACTTAATTCTTGAAATCGGAATTAACTAGCACATATCTTTGTCAACTTTCAAAACTGTAGCAGATTCACATGCAGTTTCTTTTCCACTCGTACCCCAAGGCTGGGCCCTCGATCGGAACTGTGGGCTTTCTGCAGCAACAGTGTGCCGCGAGCCACCGCTGTGTGAGGTTGTGAACGCGCTGCTACTGAACACCAGTTATCTCCTCTCTACTGGAAGGTTGCTCTCTTGTCCCTGCTCAAGTTCTCGTCATTGTGGGTAATAACAAAGGAAGATTTATTATCGTATCTCTTATACTGTAGTTTCAATTACGTGTAATATTGATTCGTTCATTAATGTCGTTAGGATACAAAGTTTTTTGCCGAGTCCGGATGATAACGGTCATTCGAATCTAGATGCTGCCAGTAAACTAATCGATGACGATAATAGGCATTGTGTACACTTTAAATATTCTACGAGCGCATGGGTGCGAAGATGCAATAAATAATTCTCTTGCTTGTCGATAGGTGTTATTGAAGTTCATAGCAACTTTTCCACTCTAACTTTCAACACTGTGTTCACTTATTATTAAAATTATTAAATTAATAATTTTTTTAAAGCTTGAACGTTCTTTCCGCTTAGTATGGGGCGGGCATTTCATGAGAAAGGCCTTGAAGTCAAAATTTTAACTTTTATGTCGTTTGCTACAAATGCGATGCTACGGTTGTTTATTTTGTGAAAATTTGACTCATTAATATACATTTGCATTCTTCGCACCGCACTTTTTAAATTCGCGAATATATTCATGCTAGAGTAAATTTTTATAACAGAATAATCAACTCTTAAAAAAGCTGATTTATAAATTCTAACTACTGCATGATTTACTGCCTTCATACAAAGATATACAGGGTTTTCTAAATGATGGAGACAATTAAATAAATTCGCATATATTTAAGTATAAATTATAAATAAATAATTTATACGCAATGGAAAAAGAAAAATTAAATTATTTACATATTTTTAATTGTTCAATATGTCCCCCTTGTCCTGCGCGGCAAACATCCAAACGGCAGCCAAACTTGTCCCACACACGAGAAAGCATATCTTCTGTTACCGAGTGCACCGTAGCAGTGATACGGTTCTTCTGATCAACCAGAGTTGCTGGTAGAGGCGGGACGTAAACAGAGTTGCTGGTAGAGGCGGGACGTAAACAGAGTTGCTGGTAGAGGCGGGACGTAAACAGAGTTGCTGGTAGAGGCGGGATGTAAACAGAGTTACTTGTAGAGGTGGGACGTAAACAGAGTTGCTGGTAGAGGTGGGACGTAAACACAGAGTTGCTGGTAGAGGCGGGACGTAAACAGAGTTACTGGTAGAGGCGGGATGTAAACAGCTTCCTTGAAGTAACCCCATAAGAAATAGTCACATGAGATCAGGTGATCTAGCCGGCCCTAAGTGTAGAGCCAGATCTTCATTTCCTATGCGTCGTACCCAACACTCAGGAAGCAACTGATTAAAAAAGTTTGACCCTTCAATCCGCTGTCCAATTCGGCATTTGAATAGGTTAAAAATTTGAATATTTTTTTTATATTGGTTTATAAATAATTCATTTTGAATTTATACTAAAATAAATACGAATTTATTAAATTTGGCCCATCATGTGAAATAACCATGAATATTACATCAGATTTTTTTTATATCATATTAACTAAAAAGATTTTGATTCCTCCCAGTACGAAAAGTATTTCATTTAAAAAACTTGGAGCATTGTGAAGACAAGACGTTCTCCCGCGGTGCTTCTTTGGACATTTTGGTGACAGCAAAGGGAACCATGCAATGTTTCAGTCAACTCGTGATACTACGCAACCGAAGTTTAGGTTTGAGTTTAAAAATTCCATTCTAAATGAATGATTAGAAAACTAATTATAAATTGGTAGGCGTTTGCTAACAGCTTGAGAATTTTAGTTGAAAATTCTCTAAGTGTATCTAAGTAACGTCGGGTGTCGTCTGAGCAGAAGCTACCGCTGGCCGCAGGTGAGAATATCCTTCAAAAGAAGCGTCGTTAATTATGCTTATTTTAAGTGAGTTAAGCCTACCTAAAATATTCATAAGCCCCTATAGAATTTAATGCTCATTGACTAAAAATTTGTATTTATTTTAAACGTTGACAAATTAAATATAATGTGGCCTGAATATCGGTCCAAATAAGCAGTCATGCAACCAGACAACATTAACTTGAAAATTATCATAAATCTTAAATGATTAATCCTGTCCATAAAGTCTATGGGCTTAACCTCCTCTGCTGTTAACCCTTTGATCTCGGATGCATTTACAGTCGTCAGTTCTATCAGTATCTAGTGGCTTGGGACCGAGATGTCCCGTCAGTTAAACTTAGTGATGTTCCTGTTTCTCAGTATTTGATATATTTTTTCATTTAATTTTTTTTAATCACACATGTCAACATCAATTAGTAACAGTGAAATCAGCGTCAGCTTTCATTGGGCAAAATATGGCCTGTCGCTGATTCTTGACATCGCACAAGACTCACAACTTGCTGGGCTTTGAACCCGAAACTCACTGCTCCGATTTTGCCGTTCTCAACCACACAATCGTCTCGTCTATTTCGACCAGAACTGTCTCAGGAAGTTGGGATCGAACCCACAACTCACTGCTTCAATCCTGGTACCCTGAACTAAACCACCGCGAGTGGTTAAAGAAAATTTCATTCCTTTTCGTTGATTTTCGTCTCGTCCTGCCGCAGCATGACATCAGGCAGCAAACAAACGCCAAATTAAAATTTTTACATTAAAAAAATCAAGTGTTGAATGTATGTTATTTTAACTTCAGCCAATTTTTTTGCAGTCGTGGGAACGTGTACGAGTAAATATTTCCATTTTGGATCCTCCATTGATATATACTATGCATGGTTAATAAAAGCTCGTTCTATGCATTTGATTCTATTCAATTCAGATTCTATTCTTACCAGGCATCGAAAGCTTACGTTAAATTTAAGTTGATGAACCTCTGGATTAAAAAAAAAACGGGAAAAAGTGCACACAAATTATCTATCAGGGCCCATACTTTCAAAACTGGCTAAGTGAACGTAAGTACTTACGCTCTATTTTCTTGTCTATGATTGGTGGATTTTGCTTGGAAGGCCGTCAATGATTGGCTGATGAACTTACGATCTCTTAACTTTTTTGAAAGTATGGCCCCAGGAAATCTACTTGCACACCCCTTCTTTCTGCTTGAAGGATTTCATGCCGAGCAGTGCGGGACTCCAGTCTCCGATAGCGACTTCAAAAATTTAGCTCTACTTTAGGTCTTTATGATGTACGAATTTTAAAATCCCTATGTATTTTCAAAAAGAAGACCAATTTCAATGACGCATTCAGTTATCATGTTTTTGAAATTATGAATAAATAGTCACTTGTTGTTATTTGGAGTTGATTTGTGTTTTGTTTGTCAATTCAATTTTTAATGTCTGTTATATACTAGAATTTCTAGATTGACGAAGAAACTAGACGCCGTAAACGTTTTCTTTTAAAAATATATGTCGAATTTTTGTGCTATCTTCTCTGTTTTTTCTTTTTAATTTCTGGTAAATTTGCAATTTAAGCAATTAAGCTATCTTAGTATTTTATTAAACGTCGTTTCAACGTCATTAGCCTGTAAGAATAAAATAATACATTGCTAAGGGTCTTACATTTGTACGGGCAGTGTATCTTGCGCTGACATTTGTACTCGGAGGAGCCCTTTGTGGTGCCGCGCTTGAGGCCTGTGCTGTCGCGCCCCGACAAGTTCTGACATCCACGTTGACAATTTGATCACGACGCTGTCGCAGCGCATCGCTAACGAAAACTCGGAAACGCGAGAATGAATTATGAGAAGGAAAGCTATTTCTCTCATATACAAATTTGAGACAAATTTTAAATTTTGCTCCAGTTAGAATTATTTCAATTTCGCATGCAAAACATGGGTGGTGATTAGAGATATATTTTTTTCATGCAAAGTTTGTTTGTTTGAAGGGAAATTATTGAGCGTATCGCATTCCCATAAGGATTTGTATTCCTGTCTATTAAAGTTTGAATTGGTGTTAAATATTAGACTTTCTTGCCATAGTGACTTATAATTTTTGCAAGAACAATGACACATGAAAATATGTTTTTTGCGCCCCTTGAGCATGGGACTCTCCAAAGAACTGATATTAGAATAAATAATTACTCATATTCGAAAATAAATCATACACCGCTTGCTTCTGTTGCCGTCATGCCACTCAAGCTAACGAAGGCCCCTAGTGGGCATTGCAATTTAATTTTCTTCTTGTCGGCACGAACAATTGTTTCAACATGAAGTTCTCCGGCCATCAGAGCTGCGGGAAAATGTCACGCATGTTTGAATGATGTAATGAATGAATTCAAGTTCAGTATATTCAAGTTTTTTTATCAAACACACAAGTTTTTTATCCAACGTCATATGAAACACTCTGTTATTTTAAAAGACGTAAATTGTATTACGAAGAGAATGAGAGATGGAATATTTTCCATTCGAGTATTTTTAATGAAATTTCAAAGCCTTTGAGTCGGTTTATGCACGTGGGTCTAGCGTGAAATCATTTAAAGAAAAATAAAATGCACAGACAAATAATAGAAGTTCAAGCCCGAACCTCGCTACGGAATTCATGCACTCCTATAAAAAATGTAAAAAAAACGGTGCCGATAACTGAACATTTAAGGCGTGAGTCCAATGGAATGAGTACCGTAAGTGCCGAATTTCGCGAGAAAAAGAACTTCATTTCGAAGTTCAGTATAAATGGGATAGACAAATATTTTCTCCCACCGCGTCAGCAAACTGGAGTTTGATATATTGGGAGAGAAGGGCTGTTTGCGACCACAATTAATTTCGTGATCCCAATGGAACACTTCCGGTAAACGAAAATATACCAAATTTTGCGAAAAAATGAACGTCATCTCGAAGCTCACACATCAAACGGCAGACAGGATATCTCTTCCCCTCGTATGAGGGCTCTGGAGTTTGATGTTGGAAGAGGGGAGTTGTTTGCAGCCACAATTAATATCCTGGCCGCCATAGGAATTGTTTTCTTTTCATTAAAAGCAGGCATGCCATCACTTTTGAAAGGAATTTCGGAAATAATATTTCTTTGTGAACGTTCAATAATGACTAAAAAGAACGAGTTTGTGATGTATAGCGAGATTTTTATCATCCAGCATTATAATAATCCGGCATTATAATAATAATAATTTATAATTTCATTTTTGTGA